CTCCGCAGTGTTTTTCAGACGAAAATAGCTACCATGACGATGGCGATAGGCTCACAGCTAAAGAGTGTGACTTCAGTTAGGGAGGCTAGCATATGCTCGGACTGTCAGGCGGTCATCAGGGCCCTGAACGCTATGATGGTGCGCTCGAAATCGGCAAGGGAATGTCTGACCTCTCTAAAAATCGTGGTGGAGTACTTCATAATGAATCTGATGACCTGGTAAGAAAAGGCACCATTGAAACCTAATCACTAGATATGGAGCAACTAAGAATGTTTCTATTGTCCTGCGGTACGCTCCTGCGCTCGCTGATATTCCACAAGACCATGCGAAATTTCCAAATCCTTCTGACCTGGGGTGGAAGCTCCTCACGCTTGCAAAGCCTCAGCTCTCGCGAGTGATAAGGCTTCTGACAGGATTTTATGCGATTGGTATTCAAGCGGTACGACTAGGAACCTCGACTGATCCCTTGTGTATCAGCTGTCAAGAGGAAGATGAGGTGGAATCATCTCAACACTTTCTACAAGAATGTCCACCTCTCGTGAGTATTTGACTCGTATTCGGAGTTTCGTAACCTAACCTAACCTAACCTAAAGCATCCGGTCTGCGGTTTGTGAACNTCAAGAGAGGACTGGGCAGGGGGAAACGGGAGTTACTGGAAGAAGGGAGTGGTAAACTTCTTCCCGGATGAATCAAAACTTGTAGGCAGAGTTGGTGAAGGTGTTTTCTGTCGGGAACTCTCACTCAAAACTATTGTCAGGTTTCCACAACTCCGCAGTGTTTTTAAGACGAAAATAGCTACCATGACGATGGCGATAGGCTCACAGCTAAAGAGTGTGACTTCAGTTAGGGAGGCTAGCATATGCTCGGACTGTCAGGCGGTCATCAGGGCCCTGAACGCTATGATGGTGCGCTCGAAATCGGCAAGGGAATGTCTGACCTCTCTAAAAATCGTGGTGGAGTACTTCTTAATGAAGCTGATGACCTGGTAAGAAAAGGCACCATTGAAACCTTATCACTAGATATGGAGCAACTAAGGATGTTTCTATTGTCCTGCGGTACGCTCCTGCGCTCGCTGATATTCCACAAGACCATGCGAAATTTCCAAATCCTTCTGACCTGGGGTGGAAGCTCCTCACGCTTGCAAAGCCTCAGCTCTCGCGAGTGATAGGGCTTCTGATTGGCATTCAAGCGGTACGACTAGATCGACTCGACTGATCCCTTGTGTATCAGCTGTCAAGAGGAAGATGAGGTGGAATCATCTCAACACTTTCTACAAGAATGTCCAGCTCTCGTGAGTATTTGACTCGCACTTTTTCATCGCATCGCATCGAAATCAGCCGTATTCGGAGTTTCGTAACCTAACCTAACCTAACCTAAAGCATCCGGTCTGCGGTTTGTGAACTTTCAGTGTGCCGCCCACCACAAAAGGGCCATAAGGCAAAGCACTACGGTGTCAAAACTTTTTACGCAATAAGACACCAACTCTACCCCCACATTTCTGGCNAGGCTTCTGACAGGATTTTATGCGATTGGTATTCAAGCGGTACGACTAGGAACCTCGACTGATCCCTTGTGTATCAGCTGTCAAGAGGAAGATGAGGTGGAATCATCTCAACACTTTCTACAAGAATGTCCACCTCTCGTGAGTATTTGACTCGTATTCGGAGTTTCGTAACCTAACCTAACCTAACCTAAAGCATCCGGTCTGCGGTTTGTGAACTTTCAGTGTGCCGCTCACCACAAAAGGGCCATAAGGCAAAGCACTACGGTCTCAAAACTTTTTACGCAATAAGACACCAACTCTACCCCCACATTTCTGGCACTAAACTAAATTCTTCAGGTCCAATTTTTTCGTCTGTTCATATTAGTATTTTATCTCAAATACAATTTAAATTGACGAGGCGCACTCTTTTTAGGGAATGTCGTAATCTGCAAAATAAAATTTGGAATCGAGCTTTATTAGATTACGAATTATGTTATTTTCTCTAGATATATAATTAATAAAATGTTGCCCTGTATTGACAAAATTCTATATTACAACCAAAGTTTGTCTATTTATTGAATTTTGGTTCTGACAGGTTTAAATACTCCCGATTCATTATATTTTAGATTGCGACCTATGAAAGTGTGAATAAACATATTTTGATGCCGAACAAATTTTCTTTAAAATTTTTCGAAAAAGTAATTTTGTTTTTCTGGCNCTGACAGGTTTAAATACTCCCGATTCATTATATTTTAGATTGCGACCTATGAAAGTGTGANTATGTCGTAGCCTGCAAAATAAAATTTGGAATCGAGCTTTATTAGATTACGAATTATGTTATTTTCTCTAGATATATAATTAATAAAATGTTGCCCTGTATTGACAAAATTCTATATTACAACCAAAGTTTGTCTATTTATTGAATTTTGGTTTGGGTTAAATACTCCCGATTCATTATATTTTAGATTGCGACCTATGAAAGTGTGAATAAACATATTTTGATGCCGAACAAATTTTCTTTAAAATTNAATGTCGTAATCTGCAAAATAAAATTTGGAATCGAGCTTTATTAGATTACGAATTATGTTATTTTCTCTAGATATATAATTAATAAAATGTTGCCCTGTATTGACAAAATTCTATATTACAACCAAAGTTTGTCTATTTATTGAATTTTGGTTCTGACAGGTTTAAATACTCCCGATTCATTATATTTTAGATTGCGACCTATGAAAGTGTGAATAAACATATTTTGATGCCGAACAAATTTTCTTTAAAATTTTTCGAAAAAGTAATTTTGTTTTTCTGGCTTAAAATATTCGAGTAAGGGCACATTTAGAACCATAAAAAAAAACTAAAAATAAATAAATTCTGATAATTCAGGAACTGGAGGAATGGGTTTTTTTTTGTGAAAAATATCTTTTGAAATCAAAACTTTTTACTCACTGTGATTGCTATTGCTATTGGAGAAAAGTGGAAAACTTCGGCTGGAAGAATTAGAACGCGAATTTGGCGCCGAATACGCCTTATTGTTGCAGTGCTGGGATGCCGCTGCCGTCGATTTCGCAGTTATTGTCGCCGCCGATGAAATGGTATTACCGTTAGCGTCATGTGTNTTTAAAATATTCGAGTAGGGGCACATTTAGAACCATAAAAAAAAACTAAAAATAAATAAATTCTGATAATTCACAAAATGTTTAGTCCGTTCAACTATGAAGCTTTCTATTTCAAAAACTAGCTACAGGCGATGGGACTGGAGGAATGGTTTTTTTTTGTGAAAAATATCTTTTGAAATCAAAACGTTTTACTCACTGTGATTGCTATTGCTATTGGAGAAAAGTGGAAAACTTCGGCTGGAAGAATTAGAACGTGAATTTGGCGCCGAATACGCCTTATTGTTGCTGTGCTGGGATGCCGCTGCCGTCGATTTGGCAGTTATTGTCGCCGCCGATGAAATGGTATTACCGTTAGCGTCATGTGTTATTTTCTTATTATTATTGCTGTTTGTTGTTGCATTTGTAAGCTTGCCGTTCGCTTTTGCAACGCTAATGTTGCTATTTATGACATTTTTCTTATCTTTGCTACCCAAAGTATAGGCATTCTTCGGCAGCGAGTTCTTCGAGACTATAGGACTAATTTTGGCACTCCCGCCAGCCTTAAGTGGTGGTGGACCCAAGCCATTGGTTGACGCTGAACCCACCAATATGTTCATGGGTCTTTTGGGCGGTGAAGGCGGTTCGCGTAGCAGTGGCGCTATTTCGTGCGCGCTCGACGAAGATTTGGTATAAGAGGCGTAACTGTAACGGAGAGAAATGTATCAGTCTAAAGAGTTAAATATGTATGTTGTGTTGCAAGAAGCGCACTCACCGAAAGCGCGGATTGCTGATGTGCACCGGCGATGGATGTGGCACTTTGGCTGGGCTGCGGAACTCTTTAATTGGTGGCAGTCGATTTTGTAGATCCGTCAGTCGTCCTTTCGTATGTCTACGCCCAGGGTAGGTATGTGTCGCTGGCGGGAAACTGCTGCAACTGCTGATGCTCGAACCGCTCGATGATGACGTACTCAATGAGTTGAGTGGCTTACGTGGTATGGCACCCGAGCAGCCCGCTGGACAACCACCGGAATGCGAATGTGAGTGATGGTGGCCATCATCGCGCGGCGACAANTGGGAAACTGCTGCAACTGCTGATGCTCGAACCGCTCGATGATGACGTACTTAATGAGTTGAGTGGCTTACGTGGTATGGCACCCGAGCAGCCCGCTGGACAACCACCGGAATGCGAATGTGAGTGATGGTGGCCATCATCGCGCGGCGACAACGAACCCGACACAGAGGAACCGGACGCTGAACCCGAGGGCGACAACGACAACGCGCCATGTGAGTTTGAAGCGCCTGGTGGCGCCAAATGATTATTCAGCACCGGTGTCTGTGTATACGCTGACATGGCTGACGGTGATATGGGTGAGGCGGGTGAGCAGAGACCACTCGAAATGGAAGACGTCTTAGAGTAGGCAGACATGTGTGACACGCCGGACATCGATGATGAACCAGTCGAACTCATCGAGTATAAGCTATCCGATTGCGCTACGCGACCACCGCCATTCGGGCTGCGCGGATAGCGACCGTGTAGAGCGGGATGTGGATGAAAGACATGGTGGCCGCTATGTGCATCGCCCATTGAATAGGAACTGGCCGAGGCGTGCACACCGCCAGCGCCAACGCCAGCTGAAGCCCAGCTCTTGGCACCCATCGAATAGCTGCTCGCCGATTCCTGTATGCGCCAAGTGCCCGAGCTGGAAGTGAGTCGATTGACACGCGCTCGACAAATGACGCAACGAAGCGGTAGTAGGCGTTGCGCAACAGCGCTTTGTATTGTCTTGACAAAACAGCGACGACAGACGACACGATGGCCGCAGGGCGACGTTTGCATGGTGGCACGCGCATTGATGCAAATGACACATTCATCCTCCTGTGAGGTGGGCGGATCCGGTTCGCTTTCCTCGAGTTTGCTCAGCAGCTTGTCCTAGAGGGGAGAGAGGGAGAAAGAGAGATGAAGATGCGGTTAAATTAGGTACAGATAGAGGCAACAAATATTGATAAAGTACAACCAGAAATGTCTTAAAATGAAGTGCCTAAATGTAGGCAACGTTTAAGCCGCGAAATTACAGCTGAGAAGAGCTTATGGCTTGCACTTGCATGTGTATGTTTACATACATACATTCATACACCGTATGCTTGCTCTCTCTGATGTTAAGAGTATTTTTGTAAGATCTGTTGATCGCAACATTTCAAGCAAATTCAAACGTGTAACTGAAAACAAACTTACAGAAGGTTCTTATCTCAAACAGCGTGCTTTTCTTTTGATTAATTATGCTAGATGAATGTACAGATGTTAGTATTTTGTTTACCATTTTATTTATGTGACTAAGAAGTAGTTACAAAGAGCCCAGCCCTACTCAAGTGGCTGATTAAATTTTTTTGTAAGGTAAAGTCGGGGCTTTCTAACTCGTTAGGAGTTTTTTTTCAAAGCGCTCGCTTTTCGACAGACAATAGTGAATCTTTCATCAGCTTCTAAAAATAAAATCAATATCATTTCTGGTTTCCGGGAAAAGAGTCAACTGGTTTAGGCGGTTAACTCATACAAGCCTTTCAAGTTTGCCGGACCAGATTGAGTCCCAAGTCTACTTAATTAGAAGATCAGTCGAAATCGGTTTCCATTCAACTTTTAAAGTTATATGTAGAGTAGACTATTAAGAACAAAGAAAGGTGGTTGTCGGATTCCTCAATACTAAGTAAAAGAGCTTTTAATAACGAGCTACCCGAGGAGATAGTAAGAACCCTGATTAATCTGGCTGTCGAGTACAATGTAGATAGGCTTATTTCCCGCACGCTCTGAGGAAAAACTTTCATAGCGATGTGGAGCAGTGCCTACAGCCAGCGCAAAGTGATATTGTGGGGTTGCTAGAAAGTAGAGACCGTCGGGCTATCCCTTAAGCTGATGACGTAGCACTCATCGTCAGAGGAAAGTTTCCGCATACTTTGTTTGGATGTTTTTAAACTTAGTCACAAGGTAGTCTGCTGGGCGTATACTAAAAATTTATCCAATTCCAAATTGAAATTCTCAGTTCAGACAGGGGTGCTACACCAACACTGTCGCGGGGCTGATGCCTAATCTGAATATTAGACAATGTTTACTATGTAATTAAATATGTATGACATACATTCTAAAAAGTGTATTAACTTAAAATTTCCCATTTGTCAGAAAACGCAAAAAACTAGTATTTTCGGGCTAAGGTAGAAAGTTTGCTATTTAAAATTTTTTTCTCATTCATGACTAAGGTCATATATCCATTGGCATTATTCTTCAAATAACCAGAGGGCTGAGTGTGCTATTGTTTCATTTTTTTTAAGAACATCTTCATTCACTCTCGTCCTTCCACATTCCGCAACCGTCAATACCATGTTTCACACCCATCCTCAGTGACTGCGGTAATCAATTATATTCAACTTCAAAAACGATATTGAACTGCAGGTCAATAAAATTGACTACACAGGTAAAAATGCATTCGTAATTCACTTAATGGCGAATACGTGTGATAACTAAATGAAAAATGCATATGTATGCGTGCATGTCTAGGTGGGACCACAAAAACCACAAGTAAACGCTCAATCGAGTGCGGAAAAGTGTGTGAAGAACGAAAAATCGGTTTTCATTGCGACAATGTTTACATTTTGTTTTATGATTCTACCTCAAGTTGCATTGCGCCCTTGGACTTGCACAAAGGTGAGAAGTAAGAAAAATGCGAAAAGATGTAAAAAAAACGACGACAATACAGGGTTGCTTCAATTGCGGCCCGCAGCTCATAGCTCGCTCAGGCGAGGTAACGAAGTCAGCGCAAGTGAAGTAGAAGGAGTGAAGCGGCCAAAAGGAGTGGAGTCACGATGAAACAAATGAATAAGTGGCGCAAATAAATGATCTTCCATAAAATTGCTGAAGTGGCATGTTTATTGTTCATTCAATAGTTTTATAAAAAATTAAAATGTTCTGCATGTGTGTGTAGAGCTGATGCCAGAACAAAAAAAAGGCAATGCGAATAAAATTAAGTTGAAAAGTTCAGTGCAATTGGCTACTTGACAAATATTAAGCTGAGGCTGTTGAAACAGGTTTCAATTTTATTACGTTTTCTTTTTGTAGTTTGAATGTTCCAGAAGGTAAATATGAGCAATTATAATAAGAATGAAGAGGAAGATATTAACAATGAAAAAATATAATAGGATTTAAATTGTTTTAAGAATTTACGACGTAGGTATATACATGCAGTCGCGAAACTATAAATAGGAATGCGACAGTAACAAGTTTTGGGCACTTTTCTTTTCTTTATATAATGTTTTTTTTTTATTTGTCTAAGAAAGTATCGCTTACTATCTAACAAAAAATCATGTAAGTCCGAGATTCAGACTTTGTGCAAAAATTAGGAAAATTCGACAAAGTTTCATCAAAAATTTTGAGCTTTTTAATTAGATTTTTTAGAAATATTTTTAGTATGTAGTTTTGTAATTTTGCATTTTTTTGTTAATTGGCGAATATGTTTTCATGGGACCACGCCAACAAAAAAAAGATGACCAAAACTCAACGGTATTTTGTAGCCACTTGAAACTTTAACTTTATCGAACTAAAATTAAGTAGGTTAAGCAACTGCATAGAAATTTTTTGTTTTGATAAATCGAATATACATAATTTTTGTACAAAATTTTAAATTCGGAGTTGTATTTTTTTTGCTAATAAATAATGAACATTAAATAAACAAAAGAAAAATAGCCAAAACTTGTTAGAATGTCGCGCCCCGTTTTATATTTTTGCTGCCGTATCTACCCATTAGGCTGGTCCTTAAAAATATCAGCTCCTAATTTTTGTACGGGTCACAACAAATCCACACATTTTAAAATTAAATAAAAAAATTGGCGGTGGCTACGAGAGCTTAGAATACTTTTCTTTTTATAAATCCCAAAAATAGGACAAAATTTTGACTTGAAATCCGATAAATTTGACATGTTATTGATAATTATTGATGTAATATCATAAACTCGATGAGTTAAAAAAGGTCTAAAGGTTTTTATAAACTTCAAAATTTTCGTGAATGACCTTATTTTGTACGTACACTGAGAAAACTTTTCAAGAACGCCCCACTTAAAAATTTGGTTGAAGAACGCCATATTTCAGAATTTGATTGAAAAACACTCTTTTTCGAACTTGGTTGAAAAACGCCCCATCTCAGAATTTGTTTCAAAAACGCCCTATCTCAACTGAAAATATTTTGAAAATATGTTGAGATAGAGCGTTTTTGAATCGGCAGCTGAGGTTGGGCGTTTTTGAACTGAATTCTAAAATACATATTTATTTATTTATTTGTAGGAAGTTATTCAACTAAATTTTGAAATAGGGCGTTCTTTAAAAATTTTATCGTTTTTGAGATGGGTCGATCTTCCTTTCAACCGTCGATATCCCCTATGCTTCAATCAAAAAAACATATTATTTGGCGCCAAACGATATTTTGTTTACTTTAAACATATTTATCTTTGGAAATTTTTTTATTTGAATATATTTCGTTCTGCACTTCACAGATGCTTTTTCGTAATTAAGAAAAACCGAAAAAAAAACAAAAAAGGATATGATCCGCCGAATGTCATTTAAAGCCGAACCCTCCGTAAAAGGTTTGAATTTGAATTAAAAAATAATGAGTTTTACATCACAAAATGTATATTATTACTAAGCTTCTTTTAAGAGGGCATCTTAAACTACACTTATGGCTACTGATCGTTAAAATGTTGTTTGGAAACTCAATGAAATATTGATTGTAAGGGAAAGGTCATATAGATGAGGTTTTTAATACATAAGTAAAATGCCACAGACTACTAGGGTAAATCAATATTACATATCTACACACATTTCATTGGTCAGCCTTTGTACATATTTATTTTTGTATGTTTTTGTTATACGTCAACCCTATATTAAAAAAAATTAATAAGCAAAGAGTTCTTGAACGCCTTTCCTTAAATACGCATGCTCCTCGAATATTTCAATTTGTCTTCACAGCGATTTTTTCTTTGTTGAGTGGCAACGTTATTTTGGAAACATTTTTAGTTTAAAGTATTTTTAAATGAAGGACATTTATTTTATTGTTTAAGAATTAAGAAAATATCTTTAATTAATTTTTATTTATTTATTTATTTTTTAAGTGGCAACTCTATTCAAAAATATGATTGTAAAAATTCCAGCTCGAAAATGTGTCATAATTATAGCAGATTCGGTTGACTTTTTTCAGAATTTAGCGAACATGTTATGGAGCCTCTATGCCCCGTTTAAGCCCTCCTCTGTTGGCCGCTGCGCACACAGTGTTGCTAGTATTGTTGTTTGTGTTAACAAAAGAGTTTGTGCATTGCCGTATTGCCTTGGCCGTGGCTACGACGCAGCTGTTTGAAACCACAATGACGATAAACATACATATGTATGAAGTGATAATGAAGAAGTTAGTAGTGTCATTGACCGTTGGGCCTTGCATAGCACGCCCCTTTAAGAGTTGATATTAAACTCGTAAACACGGTAATATGGTTATGGTAAATAAATATTTTTAAACACAGTATCAAATGCATTTATGTATATTTGTGCATATACGACGTTGTCTGTATTGTACATATGTATGTGTGGATCATTTATGTGTAATAAAGTATGTAACTTCATTCAAGCATAGAGTTTAAAGGACAGACAGCAAGTGACTACTTCTAAAGCACTCGTTACACGTTAGCGAACAAGTACTTTTAATAGCCACCATTATAATTACTAGTTTACAGAATTTAATTATGTGCAACTGCAGTTAAGTTGACAACAGAAACGTAGGCTGATAAAAGCAAGAGCTCATTGAATAAATAAGAATTAAAAAATAAATAAATAAACAAAGTTCGGAAGTGTTCAAAAAGGAAGTATATTACATATATATGTATGTATGTAGTTGACTGGTAGACGTGAGATCGCAACCAAGTCATTAAGATAGCAGGGAGGGGTCAAAACAGTCGCATT